GCTGTGTTCCTGAGGTGGGATCTCTGCACCCGCCACACCATCTGTCTCATGCAAAGGTGTTCCCTAGCAATGACTTTTGGGAGTCCAACTCCCTGTTTCCCCCAAACAGCTGGCATTTCAGATTGTTTAAGGGGTTTGGACACAAACAGCCGAAACCAGCAGTAAGGATTTTTCTCTCCAAACCAATTAAACTGAGAAATACCTGGCATGGACAACAATGTTGCTGCTGTTTTTTTAACTTTAATTTGTCACCTAATTTTGGTATGTACTAACTGCCTAACATGATGCACAAATTCAATTTTCTGGAATTAAAATAAAGATTGTTCAGATACATCAAGCTTTTTATCTGATCCCAATGGTCTGTTATTAATTGCCCCCCAATACAGTTGAATACTATCTTATTTTTTAAAGCATAAAATGATCTGCTAATCCTTTTACACAACCTGATTAGTGAGCAATAGCCTTCTCACATTTCGCATCAAAAGTGTAGAACAGCTTTTCTCTCTCTCAGGGATGGGCAAAATACAGCCTATGGGCTGAATTCGGCCCGCCAACTGATTCTATTCAGCCCATGGCTGCCCCTGCGGGGCTCCACATGGGGCTGAGCCCTGCCCGCTTCCACCCAGGACAGCCCTCCCACAGCCCTGAACCTGGCGCACAGCTTCTAGGAGGGGCTGCCTTCCTGTCACTCTGCCATCTGCAGGTGGCTACTCATCATGCTGGGGAGCCAAGTGGGTGGAAGGCAGCTGGTAACTGGAGCCAGAGTCCTGCAGGCTAGGGCAGGAGCAGGCCAGCTGCAGCTTCCCCCTCTGCTTGGTTGGGCATGTGGTATCTGGCATGCACTCTCATGGCTGCTGCCATTTCCCTACACAGGGACAAGGGCGGGAGCAGGAGGAGGAGGAGCTACTGGAGGTGGGGGGAACCAAGCAGTACCTGGGTGGCTGCAGCAGCAGCAGCAGGAGCAGCCCCACTGAGAAGTAGTACAGGTTGGCCAGGGACAGGGTACTGCCATTGGTGGGCATAGGGTGGGTGCAGGCAGGAATGCAGTGCAGACTACCTCATGCAGAAGCAGGAGGGGCTCTGCCCCATGTGGAATGCTGCAGGTCAGGTAGGGGAGGGCAGACCTGCACTGCACCTGTGCCACATTATCCAGGCAAGCTCTGCTGCACATGCCCCCTGCTCTGACCTCTCCCCTTCTCTCCCATTACCCCGGCTGACTCCCAGGACCTAGCACACAGGCAGCCACCCCCACCCCTCCCACACACACACACACCCTCTGCTCCTTTCCAACACACACACACACACACACACACACACACACACAC